TGGTGTATTGCTAGAGAGGTTTTTTTTCCCTGGGAATGCATGTGATCAGCACAGGGCCAATCAGCACTGTCTAGAGGCTAGGGGTTCCGCATCCTCCTAGAGCAAAACCCCTCCTACAAGCTTTAACCAGTGCTCTGCTGGACACTGATAGAAGTCACAAGACTGCCCGAGCTGCTGAGGAGAAAAGGTATTTAGCAGTTTATATTTACTGAAATAATTGCTTTTCCATGTAGTGTGTACTGTAGGAGACCAGATAGAGTGAATGCAGGGCCCTGAGTTTAGTAACACTTTAATAATTGTGATAAACTTCTGCTGATTTCCAATCAAAAATGTTTTTTTTTTTTTTTTTTTAAATAAAAATTTTCCTTGCACCCGATTGGGTATGCTGTTCAAAAGTGAGGCTTTACCACATTACATTTACATTTACATTTTGTTTGCCTTTAGTAAATCAACCCCACCAGGAGTTAAACATCTAGCATGGTTTTATTGTTGGTCACATCCAATAAGAGTCTGTTCACTTTCTTTTTCCAGTGATTACATATGAAGTGAAGAGATTCTTCCCAAATGTTAAACACATGAAAAATCCCAACCCTTCCCCACTGCAACCAAACCAATGCATACTATTTAAAATTTAGTAACAAAACCCAAGTAAGCCATGTGTATGAATAAAGAATGAGCTGGAATCCTCGGCCACTACTGCTTGCAGGCCTAAGATCCATTAAACATCAATGTAAAACTGAAAACTGAAACCCAGGGACAACATGACCTGGGTGCCAAGTCACTGTGGTGATCAGCTACCTATGTGTGCTTCCTGCTGAACATACACTAAACCCATTATCAATGTTTGTGCTCGTACAGCAATAATAAATGCTTGCCTGGACAGGTTAGTTCAGACACCCCATGCACGCTTCACAAATGCTTGTAACAGCCATTAAATGTCCTCCATGTAACCAATAGACGTTTGTGGCAATTATGTAAAGTAAACCTACTGACAGTTAACTATAAAAGGCCAATAGATAGGCAGGGCCAAGCTGGCGACCACAGCAGCTTGTCAACGTTTCCATAACAAAAGCAACCCAATGTTTCAGGATTCCTGGAGTGCTATATAGGTTGTGTCACTACATATGCATTCAGTTAGGAAAACCTTCTTCCACACTCCATTGGCCATTTAAGCACATAGTGTTCCTCACCTACACTCAAAAACAGGGGCGGACTGACAACTCACGGGGCCCCGGGCAATAGGGGATCATGGGGCCCGTGTCCTTGCCAAAACTCAAAAAAGCCTATGAAAAAAAAGGTACCAGGGGCATCTCATGGGGCCCCCTACTGACCCCGGGCAGTGCCCGAGTTTCCATATGGTCAGTCCGCCCCTGCTCAAAAATGTTAAAAATAGGTCTTACTGCGATTGTTGAGCAGCAATAGAAGAGCTAAAATAACTGCTTTCCATGGACAAAATGCTGCTACAGGCGGTCCTTCAGGTGTTAGGCCTAGGTTCCGGGATTACAATCTCCACCAATTGTCTGTTTTTTGGGTGCACCGGAGGAGGAATCTCTCACCCCACATGCACATGTAGCATTTCTACGATTGTTCTATATTGCTCACAAACTAATTGCCTGTTATTGGATTACCCCTCACATCCCACATAAGAATCAATGGATGATACAGGCAAATAATATGCTCATTGGAGAAAAAAAACATATCAGCATAGAAATGTTCCCCGTATATTTGACTATGTGGCAATCATGGCTAGATGTTCCCAGCTTAGCACCTCAACAGCTGGTAATGAACAGGCTTCTTCAGGGCTAATGTGATAAAGGACTTTGTGCCTTTCACAGGTGCTCTACTTGAGGATGTGGCTTTTTTCCATACTTTGTATGGTGTAAATTTGTTTTTTTTCCCCTTCTACTTTTGTGTAGGTGTTCAAGCTTTATTTTGATTGCACAATTGAAGAATTATACAGATTTTTCAGTATATTGGCCTATTGTGTGCGGATTAAGGCTATTATATAAGTCTTTAGTTTTGTGCTCTTCCATTCCGAGTATTGTTTTGTTTGTAGCTATACAATTGTCCTGAAATGGCGAAGTGGAGCTGATTGGCTGCTGGCAGTGTTGTTGGTCCTGGGCTGTGGTGAGCTGGGCATTGCAAAGAAGCAGAAGGTTGTGGGTGAGGGGGAAGAAGAGGGAGCAAGGGGGTTCCCTGGCCTGGGAGTTGCAGTTTCAGCTGTCCAGGCAGTTTCCATTTCCTCCAGATTTACATACGTAGAAGTAATATAGCCATCATGAGCACAGCGAACACACCGCTCCGGTACGCCTTGTGGAATGGACTTCCCTTACGGCTATGTATGATTAGGACATTCTGAACAGCGCTTTCTACTTGGCGATACAGAAGCAGAGGCCTGACCTTGAGAACAAAGGATGTCCGATCAGCTGCACTCCAAAAAATCCACTTTATTGAAGATAAAACCAACACAGACAGTGGAAATACAGTGGGGGACTGGCAGGTAAACACATTTCACGCTAAAGACAGCGCTTATTCAAGAACCACAAGAAGAGGCCTGACCTCATCGGCAAGGCTGCAGAGGTTTACAGCATTGGTGCCTTGTAAGGGGAGTAGAACGAGCAGTTCATTCTCCAGCAGCTACTTTGAGAGTCCTTCATTCTTAAACCCAATGCAGGATCCTGAGGATGGAGTTTTATCCAACAAATTGACAGCAGTGAGTTCACCATTACCAATGTGCAGCAGATGAGAAAGATTATAGACCTACGGAGACACCTGTATACAGATCCCCCACAGACAGGGAGAAAGCGCTCCTGAGCGGTTTTTAATTAAATAGGTCCATATGGGAAGGTGAGGGCTCAATTCAGACACGATTTGCTGTGGTGTAGAGTGGATTTGACAGCATCAGTGAAGAGAGCACAATCTCCAGTAGGAGGATCACAAATTGGATTGTGTGGGATAGAAGGCTAGGTTCACATCTGTGCGGGTGGTGCCGTTGCGGATCCGCACAAAAATCTGTGCAGCCGCACCACCCGCACAGAGGAATGTGGACCCGTGGGCGGGTGCCATTAATTCTAATGGCACGCCGCCCATACTGGAAATCGCAACCATACTGGGAACAGAGGTTCCCATGCGTGCTGCATTTTCAGAAAAAGTGCAGGGACTTCTTCCCTGCGTGTCCTGGGGCACAGGAGTCCATTCAAATGAATGGGCTCTCGTGCCCGCGCAAAAGTTGGACCACAGATATGTGAACCAGGGGTAAAAGTCCTCAAATATCCAACAGCATGCACATATATGACAGGATTGTGTAATATATATTTGGGATTTATGCATTTATATCTTGCACTCTGGAGTATTTGGGATGGTGATTATTTGTCATTTATTTACACACTAGTAGCAGCGCAACACACTTTCCTTTTTATCTGTATTTTGATTTGTGTTTAACAACCACAATTAGCGATTGCAGCAGCCGGTTTGAGTTATTGTTTCACTGCCATTTGGCAGCGCACAAATTACCACCACTTTGATACACTATTATATAGAACTTTAGTTCTGTGCTCTGCTATTACAAGTATTGTATGTACTTCTACAACTGTCCTGAAATGGTGAAAGGTGCCTTTATTGAAATTTTCAATATTGCCGAGATGTAACTCTTGGTTTTCTTTTTCTACAACACAAAAAAAAAAAAAAAAAAAAAAATCTTCGCCAGTCAAAATCCTTCTTCCAGCAAAGATCAAGCAGCCAAAAATCTAGGCTTTGACATGAATCTTGCAGCAGCATTTCCAACTGCAAATATTTCAGCTTTTTTTTTACACTTTCATTATTATTGGGATGACTAAATCAACATAGCTGTAACTTTGAGCACTGGGTCCCGTTGATCAGCATTTTTATTCTCAAGAGTTTCATTTGAGTCATAAAATAAAATTCAGGATCATGATTTCCCACCACTGTCAATCTTTCTCCCACAAAAAATAGGTTTAAAGACACTTTCACCTGATATACAGGGCAAAATGACAGTGGGGTTGATTTACTACAACTAGAGTGTGCAAAATCTGGTGCAGCTGCATATGGTGGCCAAATCAACCTCTAACTTCAGCTTAATTAAGCTTTGACAATGAAACCTGAAAGCCAATTGATTTCTATTCTATGCAGGGCTTCACCAGATTTTGCACATTCCAGTTTTAGTAAAATCAACCCAAGTGTTTCTGCAAAGGCTCCCCCACCTTATACGGACCCCAGTGTTCCCAAGCTGCTCAGATCTCCTTCACAATACCAGGTACTTCCATGATCATGGATCCTCTTCCCCTGTGTCTTTGCTTGTGTCTAGCAGCCAATAGCTAAGCCCAAGCACAGTCATAACCTGGTGAAAGGACATCACTGCTTCCCCAGCTCACCAACAGCAGTTATTTAATTGCTGATCACTGGAGGAGTCTGTCAGGGGGCACTGGTAAAGAGAGTATAAAGGGAGGGGGCCTTTAGTAGAGACACTCTTTTTGCTTTGTATGGCAAGGTAACAGTGTCTTTTTTTTTTTTTTTTTTTTTTTTTAAAGCTCAACTCAGGAAAAGTCCAAGTCTTTCCTTGCAGTGGGACTGCACAGGTTAGCTGCTTGTAGCCATCTAGAAGACAGAAGAGCACTTTTACTTTCCTGATCCTCCGCTGCCCTGGCAGATGGTGCTGCCTATGCTCTGGTGATGGACTGTTCCTCAGTATCCTTACATCCAATGCAGGGCTATGGGTCCGGCATTGGAATCGACGGGGCAGCCCCACTGCAAGGGAGGACTTGTTATCCTGAGTTCAGCTTTAAGAATGCTTAAAAGGGTTTCATAAAGCGGATTCAATTTTGCAAAAGCAAAGTCTTCAGAATTACTGGAAATCACTAAAAAACATCCAATCAGGATTCAAAACAACCTGAATCTGAGCCTCTCCAAGCACCCAGCATAAGAAATCTAATACATCTGCCATTGCAGTCCAACAAAAAAAGGTTACACCCCTCACATCTCACCTGAGAGCCCGGCTCAGCTTGTCATAGTTCATCTGGGGTTTACATTTCCGCCGGCCCCACAGCCTGGCCACTTCATCAGGATCCTTGATGACAAACTCGCCATACTCTCCCTGTTGCCAGGCGATGACATGGCGAAACTCTTCCTTCTGCAGCAGCTCCAAGATGAAGTGCCACAGCTGGATCTGACGGGAGCCTGGGCTCGACTCTGCCTTGTACGCCCAGTCGGGGAAGTGATAACCTGAAGATTTTCAAAGAAATCAAATAAATGATAAAAAGAAAAAAAAAAAAAAAAAAAGCACAGGACAAAATGACTGCAAAAGAAATGATCAGACAGAAACATGGGGAACTAAAAAAAACAAAAAGACATTTAAGCAGAACACACACACGGAAAAAAAAAAATAGAGAAGAGCAGAGATAGATTAGAATTGCCAGCATTAGACAGAAGCACCAACTTACACATAAGTAGAACATGGAGACACTGTCTGCAGACAATGCCACCCCAGCAACAGAAGACTGAAGAGTGTTAAGTACATACAACTGAATTATACACGGAGGGGTAAGTATGACATTATGGGTGACCTGTTAAACACAGAATTTGGATGAACAAAGCAACATTTTACATGAAAATATATATATTAAAAAGTAAACAGCTCTATATGACAAACAGGCTTCACACGACCAGCGATTTAATCACGGGTACGGATCTGACTGATTCATAAATATGGACCGCAGTATCTCGAGCGTCAGAAGAATGCACTGGTACCAAGAGCAGCTATATTTACCCCTTTTCATTTTCCTACAATGCACTGGGAGAACAAAACAATGAACCTGGAGTGCTTGCTATGGGATCCAAAAACAGCTTTCCCTGTTGCAGTTTAAAAAAAAAAAAAAAAAAAAAAAACAATAACCAAGAGCCAGACTGATAAAATGAACCAGGTTTCTAGGCTTGCTGACACTTTAAAGGTGGCATCCAGCAAAGTAAACAAAATCAACCCTCTGCAAAATCGGAAGGGATTGACCTCAAGCCTATTGTAAAATTTCCAACCCCCCCTTCCCCAGGCTCTATACAGAAAAATGTGAGTGAAATGACAAAAGCCCTCCTCCACCTCAGTTGCATTGGAGGTTAGATGGCTGAAGTCATCCTACACAATAGTGACTTCAACTGGATGCGTTCAATTCTAGGGGTAGGGAACCTCAGTACGGCAAATGTGATAAAACTAGAAATCCCATCATTTCGCTGAGAGTCAAGCCTGTGGCTGTCAAGAATCTTGCAATGCCGCTGCCCCCCCCCAACCAAGCTCAGGTGAGGTAACTGAGGTGCCAACACACATGAACATTCCCCAATCTATCAGCCGGATAAAGTGAGCCTTCTCTGATGTGCAACGGCACCTTTATCTTTCAAGGTTTTCTAAAAGGCAGTCGGACCCCTTTAAAGTCCAACAAGTTTCAAGTGACAGAACAGGATGACTGGATACCTCATATGTGTAGCTTTGGTAATGACTAATGAAATCATATTTGTGGTCTAAAAGACACAAATGAAAGTGCTATCACCAACACCAGGCCACACCAAAAGACATTGCAACAGAGCAAGGAGACAAATGTGCAAAATACTGGAAAAGCAGATTAAACAAAAGCAAAAAGAGGCAATGTGCAGAAATATCCAGCAAGAAAGCACACAAAAACCAAAAGCGGTGGAGAGTCACGGGTACACAAGTTTGCTGTTAAAATGAATTCTGCATTATGATCACATTATAAAAGTCATATACAAAACCTGCACAAAAAAAATGTCCAATTTCAAGTTAACCTAAAACCTAGACTAGGCACTAATGCTAAACTAAAACACTTCTGAGTGCACCTTACTACACCTGCCGATAGAGTATCATGGAACCTGCCACTGAAATACAGATTTAAACCCAGGACAAGTATACAGCAAATGAAAGTCAGAGAAGTGTATGGATTTTTGTTACCTCTGTACCTGGCTCTTGGTCACTCGCTGCACAAAAACCATAGCATCAACATGACACCCAGGCAACTAGCATTTTTAGGAGAGCCAAGTAATAACACCATTCATCATTTTTCACATGAAAGGTGTATTTTTATCCTCAACCTAAACCAGTGTTTCTCAATTCCAGTCCTCATGGACCCCCAACAGGTCATGTTTTCAGGATTTCCATTATTTTGCACAGGTGATTTGATCAGTTTCACTGCCTTAGTAATTACCACAGCGGTTTCATCTGAGGGAAATCCTGAAAACATGACCTGTTGGGGGGCCATGAGGACTGGAGTTGAGAAACACTGACCTAAACTGACGCCAAGGCCCCTTTTACACAGGGCAGATCAGCAGATCTGTGAGCTGGAGCAGCATCTCTAGAACTGACAGGAGCAAAGCCTGCTTGCTCTATGGGTGTCTAGGAGTTAACAGACTCTTCTGGTTTTAGGTGAAGTGGATTGGAGGTAGTTGGGTGTACATATACAGAGGACGGAGTCGTCCCTGCCCCCCCCCCCTTTTTTTTGCATTACGGTGCTGTGTTACTTTAACTGACAATTGCGCAGTCATGCAACGCCGCACCCGGATGAAATTTACATCTTTATTCCCCATAAATGGAGCTCTCTTTCTGTGGTGTTTGTTCGCCTGTGAGGTTTTAATTTTTTGCGCAATAAAGCAAAAAAAAAAAAAAAAAAAAAAACGAAAATTTTGAGGAAACCCCCCCCCCCAAAAAAAAAAAACAATATTTTGGACTTTTTGCTATTAAACACATCCAGTGAAAAAAAAAAAAAAATAATAATCAAACTTCATCATAAATTTAGGTCAAAATATATTCTGCTCCATGTCTTTACTAAAAAAAATATCCCAATACGTGCAAATTAATTGGTGTATGTGAAAGTTAGAGAGTTTACAAATGGCAGTATATATATATACACTGGGATACCAATACAGTGATCGGTGCTAAAAAACAGCACTGACACTGAATAATGGGGAGGATGCTTCACTGTAAGTACACTGATCGGGGATAGCTTGAGCAGTGTGCCCGAGCTGACAGGGAGGAAGACTGTAGATCAAAAACAGTCTTCCTCCCGTCTGATTGTCGGTAATCACTGGGTGCCGGCAGGAAATCACCGGCCAGGACCCGGTGATTGACATCCGTGGCCACGAATGGCACCCCCTACACAGAACTGCAAAGTCGTGTGTGTGTGTGTATATACATACACACACATCTATATATATATATATATATATATATATATATATATATATATATATATATATATATATATATATATATATATATATATATATATATATACACACATATATACACACACACACACGCACACACACACATTGTATATATATATATATATATATATATATATATATATATATATATATATCACATACACACACACACACACACACATATATATATACACACACACACACACACACACGTGATTTTGCGTACCCATGCCGCCGTGTTGCAGTATATCTGCTATAAAGCGGCGGGTGAGCGGTTAAACCCGTCTGTCCATAGTGATGAATAAGCCGAACAATCAGGTCAGCCTGAAACCGTTTAGGTTAACCTGATTGGAACACCTTTCTGAATGGGGTCTTAATCTCTAAAATCCTAAGCATCAATAATGCCGAAAGCATCTTGCGCTGGGTCTGTGACTCAGAGTATTGAAGCCAAAGATGGCCAGGACCAGTCATTTTAAGAAATGGCAGTCTACAAATTTCCCCAAGTATGGTTGTATGTAAAACACCAGTACTGCACCAAAAAGCATCAAGCACCAACAGTAAGAAAATTGGAGTTAAAACATACAGAAAAAGCAAAACACCTTAAAATTCCAACACATTTTGCACAAGACACCTGCAGCCCTGACCTTCTCTTCAATGGACATAATTGCATGTTATTTTACAGAGGTCACAATATCCGCAGGGGCTTTACAGGCAGTGAACAGCAAACTGTGGGCCATTCTAACTAGTAAATTACTGTATATAAAATGAAAACACTTGCATTTTGGCTTACGCTTTACTACAGAAAAATAAATGTAACTTACCACCCCCTCCTTTAGGCTTTTCCACAATACTGCAACCAGTTTTCATCGTTCCTCTTCCTGCTGACTGTAAACACAAAATTAAACATTAAAAATTGACAAAATAAAAACAAATAACTAAAGTACACGACATGACCAAACTACTTCAGGGCTACTGTCACATATATACATGTACACACAAACAGTATGTAGCCATGTCTCTTTAGCACAGTGGTTCCCAAGCTTCCTAATGCCGTGACCCTTTAATACAGTTCCTCATGTTGTGGTGACCCCCAACCATAAAATTATTTGCCCAGTAATTATAATTCATGAAGTGTCGTTTTACCTCCAATACTGCTGCTCTCAACACAGTAGCGGCTCTCTACACAGTGGCGGCTCTCAACACATCAGAAATCTGTGTTTTCCGATGGTCTTAGGCGACCCCTGTGAAAGGGTCGTTCGACCCCCAAAGGGGTCGGGACCCACAGGTTGAGAACCACTGCTTTAGCATATCAGAAGTATGGGCAAAGAAAGAGCTCCATGAAGCAAGTTAGGCACAGACAATATATTCTGGTGGTCTGGCATAGGAGGTCCACCAAAATTAAACTTTTAGAAGCCATTCAGCATCAGAAATAGAAAATAAAAAAAAATTTAATTAGGACATTATTATTATACAGTATTTATAAAGCGCCAATAGTTCGCTCAGCGCTGTACATTACAAAGGGGGACAGAACATGTGACAGAACAGTACAATGCAAAACATGAGGGGATTGAGGGCCCTGCTCTTTCGAGCTTACAATCTAGGAGGGAGGGGCATTCCAAAGCCTGCCTTGCACAAGTTGAATTTTGGCTGATTTCTGCTGAATCAACAGAAATTCGAGCCGTGGTTTGCCCTGTGAGCACTGCCTGACAAACGTTTATTACAGTCCCCATTCAAGTGGGGTTGTGTGCATCCCTATGCCTGCAGTCCCATAGATGTCTATTGGGATATGCATGTGCATGGGCACTGCATCCCAATATAATAACCAGCCCCAAAAAGCACCCGGTATGGGTTTGGGGCCATGCACCTGCACAGATGCCACATTGGGACAAAGCGGCTGTGTGACTGCAGCCACATGTCCCAATAAACATCTCTAGGACCACTTGTAAGAGAATACATGCAACACCTGTGCATCCTCATGCCGGCAAAAGATGGCCCTGCATGACGCATGCAACTAATCACCCTGTGTGAATGAGGTCTAAAGAGGGAAGGATCTGGGTGAAAAATTCCTGGCTGAAAGGTGACTGTAGCCAATCAGATGTAGTCACTATTTGGGTATTCATTCAGTGGCGGGTATCAACTGTCGGCATAGAATAACCTTAAAGTGGTCCTAAAGCCTCAAGGTTATACTTCCCTGAACACAGTCTATGTATTCCGGTATAAAACCTTCTGTGTCATGCTTTTCTCTCAGCCGGCCCACATGTATGGCTAGCATTAGAGATCAGAGAACAAACGGTCCTGTCATTAACAAGCATTGAAAGAATGGAATAAAAAAAGCTCTAAAATAATGAGAAAGTGAAAGACACTGTAATAATAATAATAATGAAATACATTATAAAAAAAAACGGAAGGGAGGGATGGCAATTTGTTGTGACCCACAGCAATCAGATCCTGTTGGTCTGTGGACAGTATGACTGGTTGGCAAGTAATAACAGCTTCATAATCCATTTTAAATCAAACTCCAGATCTCCCAGAATCATCTTCACATTGCAAAGTAAAGATAGCATGGCTTAGTTTAGGGAATTTTCCTGCCAATGTTGTAACATATTACACAGGTGTCTTCATACACTTACACCCCTCTAGCACCTGATGGATAAATGCATGCACTAGATGTTGGGATTTGAGCACAGGGATCGCTTGTTTGTTGTATTGTTGGGTCAGTAGCCAGACCTGAACCTTGTAGCTCTCCCCATTGTGTCTTTTCCCCTATGTTAGCATTGTGTCCACAGTAGCACTTGCGTAGGCAGGGCAGAGTAGGACTGGCCATAGAGGGATTACTTTGACGCAGTTGGCCAGCTTGAACATGTATTGCAATATGTGTGAACTAAATGTCCCTATTTATTGCATAGTCTGCTTGAAAAGGGAATATACCAGTGTGCAGAGGGTCCTCAGAATTTCTAGACACTGGAATCCAAAGAGAATCTATCGAAGTCTAGAAACACCAAGTCTGCCACAAACACAGGCTCTGCGCTCAAACTCCTACTACACAGGTGAGAAATCTACCAGAGAGATCTGTGGGTGACCCCTTTGTCTGACAAACAAAAGGAAACGGCTTACGCGTTTCCTTCCTTGTGGTTGTAGCTGCAAAAAGCATTGTGCCGTCCACCCTCGCATCCCCCCCCCCTCTCAGCTTGTGGTGACAAACAGTTTACTAATCAAGCCATGACCTCACAGCAGCACTAGAAGGAGTTATCTTACAAAGTGACCCATCAACCAGCACCGAATGTTTTTAGTGCCAGGATTCAAGTCTCACCAACATCATCATCTACAGGAAGGTGTACATTTTCTCTGTATCTGTATGGATCCACAGGGCAGGAGTCCCCAGCTGTCTGACTAAATCCTTGCATTTTTCATTAGTGTCCATTTTCTCAGGGGGGCGCTATAATGCAAATGAGAGCTCTGGCCCATCCAATGCCATCAATACAATATCCTACTGGCCAGCGAGCTTGGCCTTAGCACTGGAAGGCAAATAAAAAGGCAGAAGAGTCAGGAGGAGCGACAGAACTCCACTATAGAACCAATGAATGGCATTTTAATAGAGTACACAAAAAGGAGCTTGGGAAGCTCAGGAGATACTTGATAGTGAGGGCCCTTGTCCAATCTGCATTAAAAAGGTGAGACAATCATGTTATATTAAACTATATACTGCTAGGATAGTGTTTGAACCACTTTACAAAGACCAAAACATTTTTTGCTTACTTAATTCCCTCAAGCATGTTTTAAGCAGAGGCCCTGGAGAATAAAAACGGTGGGTTTTTCATTTTTAGGTCATGTGGTATTTGAGCAGCGTTTTTTTTTTCAAATGCAATACATTTTAGTGAATTTTTGATACTAAAATGTTTTGGCAAGATATTAAAAAAAAAAAAAAAAAAAAAAAAAAAAAAAAAAGGTGGTAATGCACCGAGTAAATAGATATCCAACATGTCACACTTTAAAATTGTGCATGCTGGTGGAATGGCGCCAAACTTCAGGATTTTTTAAAGTTTCCAAAAAGGCAAAGCATTAAAAGCCTTTACAGGTTACCAGTTTAGCGCTACACAAACGATCTGGTGCTACAATTATTGCCCTCGCTCTGACATTCACAGCAATACCTCCCATGTGTGATCTCTGTTTACGTATGTGTGTGGGACAGACACGTGTTCACATTTGCACTGAAGCACATGGGGACAGGGCGATTAAAACTTATTTTATTTTATTTTAATTTTTACACTGTCTCTTTGCATTCCTTGTGATAGCAATAAAAGTGATTAAAAAAAATGTAAACAAACATCACAAGCAGTGACAGGTAATCTTTACTGTGACATTTGGGGTCTATTAGACCCCAGATGTCTCCGGTGCCCTTAAAAACATCTGATCTCACAGAGCAGTGTGATCAGATGTTTTGTCAAGCCAAACATGGCTTTGTTGACATCTGGCGAAACCAGAAGTGACAAAATCCTTGTTGCTTCCAGTATCCTTACCATAGAGATGATCAGGGACATTCCAGTTCCAGATCAGCTCTATAATAGGCTGGTAGAACCACTGGCTTCAGTCCAGGCTCGCTGGTGGGGTGGGACAGTGAAGCCCAGAGAGGCACTGCCGGGCAGCGGAAGGTGGAGACCCCTCTTGCCGTTTGTAAACGCAATCCAGCAGCTAATTAGCCGCTAGGATGGCTTTTACATAATAGAGTGACCTGGCATGTTTTAAAGGACTTATTTGACAGAGAACTTTTATTTATTTTTTAAAGACATGACATGGTTGCTTATATGAGGGGGAAAACCCTTCTAGACTCAGATCAAGCTGAGATACCAGGGAGAAGAAAGAGCAGAACACCATCATATCAAAGTACACGGCACATCAAGCATAGTGTTTCCTCGAGGCAAGTAATTTGATGACCTGTTCTCTTCAAATGGTTCCAATATACTGTATACGTTACAAATATTTTGTCTTTCAACATAAGGAAGTACCCATGTCATAGCAGACGCAAGCATGAGAACTTAAACCTCAGAATGCTTTTTAAATGCTAAAAAGAGGACAATTACACAATACAAAAAAAAAAAAAAAAAAAAAAAAAAAAAGAAGACGACCCTGGGAAGCCTCTACAGTCATTCTCCAACGGCAATACATTAGCAGAGTTTACTGGAAAGTCACTGCCTGTCCATCGGCATAGTTTTGCACACTTCAATAAAGGACAACATTTGCATGCTTAACCACTTGCCTACCGGGCACTTATACTCCCTTCCTTACCAGGCCAAATTTAAGCTTTCAGCGCTGTCACACTTTGAATGACAATTGCGCAGTCATGCAAGATTGTACCCATATAAAATTTTTATAATTTATTTCTCATAAATAGAGCTCTCTTTTGGTGGTACTTAATTGCCGCTGGGCTCTTTACTTTTTGCTCTATAAGCAAAAAAGTGCAAAAAAAAAGAAAAAAGTTTGTTTCTATTAAAATTTGCAAACAGGCAATTTTTCTCCTTCCCTGATGTGCGTTGATGAGGTGGCACAACTACTGGGCACTGACGGGTTGCATTGATGGGCACTGCTGGGCACCAGTCATCAGGGCACTGATAATCAGTGCCCTGATGATCGGTGCTGATCCCTGCTCTGACAACGGCCGGTTCTCGGCAGTACTTTCCTCATGCTCTGACAGCGTGAGGAAATTACAGCCGAGAACTGGCAATTTCATTTCCCTGTGATCAGCGTGTCATTGGACATGGCTGATCACGTGGTAAAAGGCCACTGGGATTGGCCTTTTACCACATCAGGTGATCAGCTGTGTCTATAGGACACAGCAATCACGGAGATCGCAGGTCGGCAACTAGTTAATC